AAGAAACTGATCATGTATATTTTATATGAAAGAAAACACCCTTATGAATTGATGACTATATATAAAATTATATCCACTACTTTTGAACACATTCTGCTATGAATTATTTATATAAGCCAAAGCTGTATGTTGTAACTTTTTTTTGGTTTTTGTTTTGTTTTGTTTTAGAGAATAGCTTTATCTTGTTTTAATTTTTTAGTTTTAAGAGGGGAGAAAAAAACAAAAATATCTTGCAAGCAGAACCTTGGAAAAAAAAAGCCATGAACACTTATTATTCTATATGTAAATTAAAAGTTGAGCCAAACTCTTTGTGTATATAGCATCTTAAATATATTATCACCTTTGATGTAAGTACCTATGTATTGTATGGTCACCAGATTAAAAAGTATATTTTTGTGGATTGCCGCCAATTTGGGGGGAAAGGCGAAGTCCTTATTAAGTAGAGTATTCACTGTTTAATATTTACTATTTTGTTAAATATACTGTACTTTGGATTTTAATTATTAGCCCAGTTTTCAGAGGATTGTGTAAAGGGGTTTCTCCCCTCACTGGTGGTGAATGTGTGATGTTCCGTTGTAATCTTTGTGCTGTATGGGGTGAGCATCATTATATATTTTATATGTGTACATAAATAGCAAAGTGACAAAAAAATTGGTGTTAAGTTCATCCTGCATAAATATAAAATGTGTTGTAACAGATTTTATAAGGCATTATTTAAAACTTGCCTTTTGTGAGGAAAAAGTAGTAGGAAGATGACCTAATTTAATATTAGAGAAAAAGGCTAAATAGTAGACGAGCACAAAGGTTTTATAAGTGGTAAATAATTAGGGACTATATTTGTAGGGAAAGGCATCTTTTTCTCCTTGACTCTTTAAAAATAGAATAATGCAGCTGGTTATGAAATACACCAGCATTTCCAGCTGCCCTGTACATTGAAAGGCACCGAGTGTATGGGAGATTATCTCTTTGGGTGCAGATCCTTGACATGATTCTTGCTGTCCTGGTGGGAACTAGTGCCACCCTCAGCTTGGGTTTCGAACAAGGCCTTATTCTTACAGGAAGACAACTCATTGGTGACATAGCAAGTTCATCCGTTTACTGGGCTTGTGCCATGAACAAAATTCAAAGTCCTGTATATCTTTTATTGTAGATTTTTAAATACACCTTTTCCTGAGAAATGAGAAGCATTTTTAAATGGCTGCTATTTTATATTTTAAACTTAATATTAAGCAGCTACCTGCAATTTTTACTTACATTTTGCTTTTCCCCCTAAATTAAGTTCCTTTTGACGTTTCCTCATCTGCTGTTGTGACAAATCATCAGCCAGATTTCCTGACTGACACATAGGTATTAGGTTCCGGTGCATCTGTGGCATTCAGAGACTGCCCAGTGGATAGTGCTTCACTGGCAGTTTGGGCAGCAAGTTTTAGGAGAAGCCAAAAAAGTGGGGGTGATATTCTGTCTCCTCTCTTCAGTATAAATATTTGGCTCTTGTTCAGAAAGGTTAGGTTTTCTTTTTGAAATGCACTTAATTGACTTACAGACACACTCGTCATAAGGTCATACCTAATTAAAATAAGCCAGTGTCCCAACACTGAATTTCCAAGATAACCCTTACCACTTTGTAAACCATTTATAGCTTTGAAAGTGTTAAAATGATCCTTTGTTATTATTTATGCATGTTCATGAACTTCTGCTGTATATTGGAATAGGAGTTAACACATTCACATTTACTGTCTATTTTCTTGTGTGCCTTATGAGATGGCTTTTCTGACTGTATCTCAATAGTCTTTCTTTCTATGCAGGTTTATAATCAGTACGACTACTGTTTTCTAAAGTAATATTACACAAGGCTCGGAGTTTGTATTTAAATTACACTGACCTAGTCATAATGTATTCTGTTTTCAGGAACTGAATATCTGACTGTTAATCTTTTCCCATAAGCCCAATGTGATTTGGAGCCTATGGGCTTGACATCCTTCACCCAGACACTCACGTGTGAACACATCCATATCCACAGCTCTCAGCAGAAACCAACCTAGAGTGGGGAGGACACTAATGGTGTTGCTTTACAACCAACTTTTCTTACCCTTTGAGGCTCATGTGTTTTGTATAAGACATCATCACAGGAAAATTTTATCCCTTCAGATAACGTGTATTTTATTACTAAAAAACAAAAAACAAAAAAAGCTTAAATTGCACTGGCTGCAGGAAGTCCCTACCAGCTGTACTTCCTCCGGCACTCTTAAGTGGTTCTACACTGAGGGGGAAAGTCACCATTGTGTGAACACAGGTGGTCCCAGTCAAAACTCCATCTTTTGAGCCCTAATTACATCCATTGTGTTATAAAACTAAATCAGGGGTTTGTTCTAAAAGAACAATACATGTTTTACCATTTCCTTTTAACTGTAAAGATGACTAATAATGTATTAACATACTTTCTGTATTAACCATCATGCGCACAAGAAATACATAGTAAATAAGGAACCTGAAGACTCCTGGCATTGGATCGTAAAAAGCTAGAGGATTAGAATGTGAAAAAGATTTTACAAATGTAAAACTTTTATTTCTCTGTAGAAACTTTCTTCACTTTGCTGTGCAAGAAGACACTGCTTTGCTATATTTAAAATGGCTTTTTTAAAAGAGATTTATGTATTTGGTAAATGTTTGTAGTCAACAGTTCACACAAAGAAGCTGTACGCGGTTTGATCATGTAAAACCGTTTGGCGGCACAAGCTGGACTTTGTTGCCATCCTTGAGATGAACCTTTTAAGAAAAATAAGTTAATCTCAATTTTTCCCTGAATGTGTTGTTTTTTCTTCATTATACAATAAATAATTATAGTGAAGTTTTTTATCAAATGGTTAAAGCAATGCTAGAGGTTGTTGTAAACTATTTGTCTCCTGCACTCACTCCAGTAAAGACCGCCTGGCTCTTACCATCCATCCAGACTCTGTCATGTTTGCCTGGGGAACAGTAAGCACTGGCTTGGCCACCAGGCATCCTGGTCTCCCAAAGTTCTCTCCTTTGCTCACCTTATGGTATCTAGGCAGTCTTGGAGCCTTTAGAATGTAGCCAGCCAGCTGTTCCCCAGTATCAGGCTATGTTATGACTCCGTTAAATGCATTTAGTCTCCAAGAACTCACAGAAAACACCCTGAAGTGTTGAGGGGGTCCATGTTAGCACTTAGTATTGTATCCCCTTTATTTTTAAGGTTTAAAGTGTGAAATGGCTTGTCCAAATTACATACACAGCACTGAGATAGAAGGAGCAGAGAGCTGTACTTTGGAGTTTCATTTTGCAGAAATAGCTGTCTATTCCAGTACACTGGTAGGTCCTTCCCATTGATCATCTTTCTGGTCATAACTGAGCCAGAAAAGGAAACAGTTGTCTGAATCTGCAGTAGAAAATGCCCTCCTCCTTCCATTTGCCTTGTGAGCCAGCTCCTAGCTAAGCAGATTCTTGGTGTCAAATTTAAGTTGAATTTCTGTGCTGGTTTACCTGCTGGCTAGAGTGGGACTGATTAGCAGGTTTTGAAAGCTGGTGAGTCCTGTGGCTAAAAATACTCTAATCACAGCTGTAGCTACTTAAAATCAATTCTAGGCTAGTTGCTAGTCAGCTCCCCTGGGTGCCTTGCTCTAGGCATTATCTAGGTCTTAAGCTAATTCTGTGTCTGAGTAGCACCAGCCAAGAAGGTGATTTTCAGTTGGAGCCCCCATATGCCAGCTGGAGGGCTGCAGCCTGCCGCCAGCCACCTGTCCAGTGGCTCACCAGAGGCCAGAGCACTACTTAGCTATGGATAGGTCTGATATTTTGTAACTGGAATGAGGTGGTGTTGGGCAAGAACACCCCCAGGTCATGTGTCCCAGTGCATCATCAACTCTTACTACATATGGACATCCCTTCCTTCAAGAGGAGAAGGCGTTCTCCACTGGAAGCTACTGTCTCTTCCTTTGTCATTGTTAAGTATCTTAGAGATAACCGATACTGTAGGTTTCTCCTTGAACTTTTACCCACTTAACACCTTGTCCTCAACCGTTACTAGCATAGTCCTTTTTCTTCTACATTCATTAATTGGGATTCTACCCCCACTTGGTTGCATCATTTTGGACTAGGGGATGCATTTGGGGGCAGGGAGTGTTACAATCTGTCATCATTTTGCTCCTCAAACTGTTCTGGTTTGGGCCTTTACGAGTTCCACCAGTAGATGTCTAAGTTCTCTGGCACTCCCTGCCCCCATTCTGGCATATCCTTGTTCCTGGCACCATAATGTGTCCGACACTCATTTTGTATTTTCTGTCTCCCTGAACTGGGGTGGGGTCAGGTGCTTCCTGTTTCATGCATTAAAGAATGGTTTTGAAACTGAGATCTAGACACCAGGTATGCTCACCATTACTAGGGTGCTCCTGCTTGGGGCCCTGTCTGCAAACAGCCTGAAAGTAGGTGGTGCTCACTCAGACCACCCTAAGGCTCTTCAGATTCCACTTGGCTGCAGTTGACTTTCCTTACTGGTAGGTTACTTCTGTTAAGACCCCCAGATAGTGTTGCTATGGTCTTTTTCCCTACTCTGTTCTAGTATACACCTATTTCAAATTTGCCAGGCCATCCATGTGGGGAACATACATGTACTGACTAGATAGAGCATGTATGTAGCTGAGGTTTGGTGAGGGGATTGCCTTTGGCCTTATGTTGTCCATTCAAGATCATGTTGACCAGTTATTTTGCTCCAGGCCCCCTCCATTTTTAATCCAGTTAAGCTCACCCGTAGGTGTTTTGGCCTATTTTGGGTACCCTTCTCCCATCATAGTTGGTTTTATTTATTTTATGTGGGGGCTATATGAATGGCATACAAAGAACTTTTTTTTGCATTGTTGGGGACTGAACCCAGTGCAAGAACCTTGCACATGCTAGGTAAGCATTCTACCACTGAGCTGTATCCCCAGCCCCTCATTACTACACTTCTAAGCTATATAGATACTCAGAGAAGCAGCACTCTTTGCCCCTGGTGCCCTGTTCCCCGTCCATACATCTCCCACTGACCCACTGTTGATAACCACTCTTTAGTTTCCTGTGTAATCTTTACTGTTTTGTGGACAAGTCAGCAGCTTTAGGATTTTTTATTTCTTTTCACTTAATATATCTGAAAATCACAATCAGTTCAGAGGTATCACCATCTTTTCCTATAGCATCCTATTACTCCATTGTGTGGATATGCTATAGATTGTCTCCGTTTTTACGTACAGAATTTAGACTGAGCTTAGAAGCGAACCTCAAAAGAATTAGTATGATTCTAACTGTGCCCCAGAGCAAAGGACAAAGGAGTTAAGACAACAAAATCTAGTGTCTAACTATATCTGTCACTATGATATAGATACAGCACTCAACCAGAAATTAGAAGAAAAGAAAAGGAAGTTATAATCAAGGATGGGTCTCACCGGATAGGCTCAGAATTACATGAGTGGGTGGAGTTAGCAGATGCGGATGTTGTTATAAGTGAATACATGTTTGGAACGTGAACTCAAAAGAACTGGAAAGTATAAAAAGATAAGAATGCTAGGGATTAAAATTAGTGCATTTAGTGAGCTAATGGCACATAAGACATTGCAAGGGAAGACAGCAATGGAAACCACACAAGTAGAGGAAGATTGAATGAAAATAGATCTTAAACTTACAACATCAAATGGCCTGCAGCCTGTGTAATTGGAGAGGAATAAGGGAAAATTAAAGAATGGCTGCCATTTTCCAGATCACATGAAAACATGAACTCACAGACCTTATAGGAGTTATGAAGGAGTAACCAGCAGGCCTCCCCATGTCACTAGTCACCTCTGTAAATTTTCCCCGAAATAATGCCAAGTCTCAAATATGGAACTCAGGTTGCCCTCCATCTGACCCCAAATCATTCCTGAAGCATTTTCTCACAATTCCATTTACACTGCCTTCACACTAGGTCACCAGGTGACATAGTCCCCATGTTCTAGCCTCTAGTCCTTTGATCACACTGAAGAGAGCATTCCTTGAAAAGCACCTGTCCACCACATTACTGAATCTCATTGTCCTTTCAGGGGTTGGCTAAGGAATGCCAGCTCCTCTAGAGAACCTTTAATGACTCCACCACTTGACACATTACCCATTCCCCCTTCCTGGGACCCAGAACATTAGTTCTACTGTGCCACATCCCTGTTCTTGAGTGGCTCTTCTCTCTCCCAAGGTTATAAGCACCTTGATGTGTCTTACCACATCAGCTCTTGGTATTCTGGAAGGTTAATGAAGGAACGAACTTGGGAAAGTTTGTGTGTAGATGGATGAAGTATAGACAAAAAGACTGTTGTCCTTATTCAGGGCAGTGAAATGGTGCCTTTAAATATCACATGCTTTCTTGAATACTGGGGGATATCTCTGGGTCATGCTAAGGCCTGGAGAGGTGCTAAGAGGTGTTGTGCTGTCACCAGTGCCACAGGTGGGGTAGTCTCTTGAGCCCCCAGTAGTTTTGAACAGAGGTAGGAAGGGGGCACCACAATGTTCCTTCCAGGGCAGTGCAGCCTAATTGGCTGTGGGAGGAAGGGAGGCTAGCTTTCCCTGTCCTGGACAGCTGCAGTGATCCAGCTGGCTTTGGTGTCCTGTCCTCACTTACTCTACCCACATGCTCTTGCTCAATTTGGTGAAGCCTGTTGACCCTGCTCCTTAGAAGTGAGCTTGGAGGAATCCTGTCTTGCCACACAGAGCATTGGGAGGATACAGCAAAGGGAGGAGGGCTGATTTCTTATAACCAAGGAAGGAGCCTGTATCTCTGGCTCAGGGGAGAGCCAGAGATCCAATGAGTTTGACACCAGCAAAAAAAAGGGGGGGAGGGGATGGCTCATGCCTTTAATCCAGTGCTTGGGAGGCAGAGGCAGGCAGATCTCTGTGAGTTTGAGGCCACCCTGGTCTACATAGTGAGTTCTAGGCCAGCTAGAGCTACAGGGAGACTCTGTCTCAAAAAGACCAAAATTAAATAAATAAAAAAGTGCATTGTCTGTTATTAAAAAAAAAAAAAAAAAAAGGAGTTTTTTTTTTTTAAAAAAAAAAAACTCCTTTTTTTTTTTTTTTTTTTAAAAAAAAAAAACTCCTTTTTTTTTTTTTTTTTTTAAAAAAAAAAAACTCCTTTTTTTTTTTTTTTTTTTAAAAAAAAAAAAAAAAAAAAAAAAGGACGAGGGGTAGGCAACCAGGGCAGGGGATGTGGCTCAGTGGTAGAGCACAGCCTAGGCCCTGAGTTCAACCCCCAGCACCTTCCCTTCCCTCAAAGGAAAAAAGAAAATGTATACTTAAGTGCCAACTACAGTTCTTGGGTTCAGGCAGTGGGTCCAGCTCTTCTTACCTGTACCTGGCCAGTGCTCCCAGGAGGCTGCTAGAAATGGTCTTAATTCTCTCTGCTACCCTCTCCTGAAGCAAAGCCCCAGAATAGGGTTAAGAGCAGACTGAGCCTGCCAGTCTGGGAAGTTCCTTCAGCAGCCTCACTTGCCAGCTGTTTGCTCTTAGCTTAGCTTTAACACATGTAAAGTGATAGTCAAGGCCTATGAATGAGGGGGTTGGGAAGACATAAATAAAGCTCTTGGCCTTCTATGGCATCCAGTGAGTAGCGAACTCCATGGGTTATCTGATAGTAGGTTCAGCTCCTGGCTATAGCCCAGTCTTCCCCAAAGAAAAATCATGACTCTGCTTTTCTACAGGTGAGTATGGCCTAGGGTCCTGCCTGTCTGTCCCAAGTGACTCTGTTAATTCTATAACCTTCAGTGCATCTCCCCCAACTCCCCATAAGGCCAGGCGGATGGTATACAACCTAGCCTGCTACTTTGTCTCCCTGAGGAAAATCAGAACATCCTATTCTAATGAGGATTCCTTAAGCTTCAACGTGACACACTGTCAAGCAAAAGGATGATGAATTATTTCTTTAGAACATCCATTCTCAAGGGGACTGGAGAGATGGCTTAGCAGTTAAAAGTACTAGCTGCTCTTCCAGAAAATCTCGGTTTGGTTCCCAGCACCCACATGGCAAGCTAACAACCATCCTTAACTCCAGTTTCCCTCTCTGGCCTCCATGGGCACTGCATTGCACAGACAGGCAAAACACTCATATATATAATATAAAAATAAATCAAAAATTTTAATTCATTCTCATGGGGACTGGATGGCTCTGTGGTTAAGAGTGCTAACTGCTCTTGCAAAAGACCCCGTTTGGTTCCCAGCACTCATATCAGGATCTTACAACCACCTATAACTCCAGCTCTAGATTTGACTCTCCAGGACTCTGCAGGCACATGTACACACACACACACATAAAATCCTTTAAAAATAAGTCAACACCCACAGACACCTAAATGCAGCAATGAACTTCAGAAAATGAACTTCACAATATGTATTACATATACCTAACAAAACTGAAGCACTTATGTAGGTCAGTGGGCCAGAGTATGCTGGTTACCACTTTGTCTATCTTTCCCCCCACTGATTGTGTGCACAGCAAGAGTCCTGGGTTACAGGCCCAGGCCCAGCAGGAGGCAGAAGCTCCCATCACCTTCTCCAACCTCATCCCTCAGCTTCTAATTGTTACTCATCTCCACGTTTGAAAAAGAGGGAGCCATTTTTCCTTCACAGAAGAAATTCTTTTATTCCACTTGAGAAAATACAGGATACGCACATTCATTCTTTGCCTGGCAAAAGGGATTTCCCATGAGTCCTGCCTGCTGAAGTTAATGATGACAAGAGTTAGGAGCAATTTCTCAGCCACAATGGGCGTGACCATCCATCTAGAAAAGCACTTATATAACCAAAATGCTTTTTATACCAAGATTCACAGGTTCATTTTTGGTCTCTAAGAAAACATTTAATTCTGAAGGTGATTTAAATTTGCTATTTGAATCCTGGGCAAATTGTCATCAACAGACTGAAAGCCTAGCTCAAGTCCCTTTCTGCTAAGCCCTCCTCTTACATGGTCAGATAACTAGGTGTAAGTGGCAAGTTACAGGACCATTCCCCAAACTCAGCATCTGAGCAGCATGCCTGCCTTCCAGTCACCAAGGCTGACCCCCTAGCCCTTCCATCTACAGGACAGGGGGTGGCTGCTGCCTTTGGAGGAAGGACCGGGCAAACCTTGGTCTCTCACCTCAGGTCAGTTACCCTCCATTTTATAGCCTATCATAGCCAGAGCTACCTTGCTGGAATTTGGGTATGTCCCCCAAAGGCTTGCTCTTCAGCTTGGCACTGGAAGGTACTGGAACCTTTAAGTTGGACCTAGTAGAAGGAAGTTAGGTCACCTGAGACCCTTGAAGGGGATACTGGGACCCCAACTGCCTCTCCTTTTCCCTGATTATGTGAACAATTTGCTTCAACCCACACTCCCTACCATGATACATGTTCTCACCACAACCCCTTACCCTCAAAGTAAACAGGCCACAGATTGAAACCTTTAACATAAGCTAAAATAAACCTTTCCTACTTAGAAATTGTATATCTCAAGTATTTTGTTACAGTAACAGAGAATTAATGCACACCTCTAGCCTTCCTTTAAGTGTATGGTCTTTAATACTATGAGCTGCACTGCATTTGGAGGTTTACTCTAGGGACATTATCCAAAGAGAATGAACAGAGCTGCCTTCTGGCTCCTAAGAACAGAGTCAGGGAGGCAGCAGAAAGAATACACCATTTCAGGAGTACACAGGGTAGGAGTGAGGAGCTGTTCTTGGCACAGCTGGTCTGGCAGTGGCTTGGCCTCAGAAATGCGTGTTGGATCTTGATGGCAGGTGAACTTCCTCCAAGGCACCTGCAAGAACTGCTCCCAAGATGTTCCTGAGATAATCCTGGGAGCTGTCACCGTGGAGATGCCCCTCTTGTCTGGCTTGAGACTCTCCCATGAGTCAGACTAAGAGGCTCCCGTAGTGTGAGGAACAGAACTGCTGTTTACCCCGTAGAATGGCAGTTTGGATTGGAGGCTTTCTCACTGCCAAAATGGCACTGCCTTAATCAGGTCAAGTGAGGAGGCAAACACGAAGTCAGGCTTGATACAACTATAACGTGTCAATCTTAAAATACTGTGACATATCAACAGTATTGTATAACCCCTCTGCTGGGGAGACATAAAACACCTGATCTCAGAGCCCAGGCCATCCCCACCCCACCCCACCCCCAGCAGGCAGGGACTCTGTGACAGGTGACCCCAACCAACCTTAGGGACACCCATACTGTAGGTCCCTGGTCATGTTCTGCTGCCCATACAGGGCTGCTGTGAAGACCCTCAGGACCAGCCCCCTAAATGTCTTTAAGAAACAGTCACAAATCACATATAAACACCTCTTTTGCTGGGACAATAGTGTCCTGCAGCTTTGGGTTAGGCCAGGCATTCCTCAGAGTCCATACAATCCAGTTGGCCATGGTAACTTCTAGAAATGTACACAAAATGCAGCACCCCCAGCAAACACCTGTGACAGCCACTCACATTAAGAGTCAACTGCCAAGGTCAACTGATTGTGAAAAACCAAGCTCAGGTCCCTGCCTGGGTGGTTAGGCTGACCTGGCTGTCTGAAGCAGAGATGGCTTGCCCTGGAACTGGGTTTAGTGTCATGGAACCATTGGGGATAGCAGTTGCATTCAAGTCATTGGAGGCCTCCCCGGTGGCTTGTATTTTAAAGTAAACCAGATAAAACACTGGCAACACAATCCCAACCAGAAGCATGACAAAGACTGCATTCCACCACCGAATCCCACAGTCTGCACCATCGGCTGCTGGCTTCTGGGCTGTGGGGAACAAGGGCTGATCCAGAGGCTCCACACAGCAGCTGTCACTATGGAAGATGTCTGAGTGCACTGCCCGCTTGATGTTCTCATCGATCCCCTTGAAGAAGTCTGTCAACTGGCTGCCCTGAGTATCTGCCTCAGAAGCATCTTCGTCTTCAGGCAGTTCCACCAGGGTCACCCTGGTCTCCAAGGATGGGCCCCTGAGGGGGGTTAGTTCTTGGTGGGTCTCTGTGAGGATTCCATGGTTTCTCACTGGAATCTTAATTGACTTCAAAGCATACAGGTCTTGTTCTCTAATGAAGTTGTTCACTTTCTTGATATCTGCAACCTAAGGAAGCCATGCGTCAAAAACATGCAATGCTCCTTAAAGTCAGTACCCAATGGAGGCCCTTAGCCTGCTGGGGCCCGAGTGAGGAAGCCCATGAAGGCTGGAATAAGTACCTGCATCAAGCTTTGTCTAGGTTGAGTAACTTGGGCTTTAGCTTTTATGGGGGATTGGGGACTGGGGGCTTTTGCCCCTTAATGAATACCTTAGAAATCAATCTTCCTACTTTGAATAATTTAAGATCAGTATTAGAAACTGATCTTTTTAAGGTGTGATACAGTAAGTTTCACATTAAACAGGTCCAATGCTGTGACCCTTTGGGTGTCTTATAACTCTAAGGCAACAGTGCCCCCATCTGCCTGAGCTCCCTCTTACACCAGACAAGCTCATCAAAGCCTGGGATGGCCCTGGACACACATTCAGGGCATTCAAGATCTCCAACTGAAGGCTTCCTCAGGACACACCCTTAGCACTTTCCCAGAAGCACTGTGGGGCGTGGGAACTTTCCTAAATAAAAGTGACCCATAGCTAATTCACCTTGGAGAGGTCACAATCATCATTAGAAGCATGTCAGGAAATCATCAACTTGGGATTTTTGGAATGAGATTTTTCCATTCCCAACTTAGTTCATAGGAACACAGCCGTGGCTTTATCAAGTAACACAAAGTTTATGAAAAGAAGGGAGGGAAAGGTAAGCCAAAAATGAAACTCCACCTCAAGCTGCTTTTGAAAATTTTCACTGGAGCATAAGGTCGAGCCCACAGAGCTTTAGACAGACCCTTACTCAAGCCCACCATGCATGTTACTGAAACTGTTCAGCAACTACCTTCATCGTTTTACTGAACTGGCATGGGGGGATTTTTTACTGTGTTCTGAAACTAACAAACCTTAAAGAGATGCTTGAGAACTTCTAGTCTTTACTAAACAAACAGCCAATGTATATCTCAAATAGGAAAACTAACCAGTTAGTGGCAGCATTACAAACTCATTATAGATTTGTGGAGACCATCATGCCAAGAGGCCTACTCTATTTCTTTGGAGGGGACAATTTGTCAGTCCATATGTTATATCTATAGAAGCTGATAATAAGGGTCAAATAAGAATGTCCACAATTTAAAGATGCTAAGTGACCCTGGAGATCAATCTCTACTACCTTGGGAAAGAGCCACATACCCCATCCAATCTTTTTACCCATTTGGATCTTGTTAGACAATAGACAATTTTTAGGAGGTAAAGATTTCTTTTTTTTTTTTTTTTAATTCAGTAGCTTATTAGCCTTAGAGAAGGCCAAAGAAGTTTATAGCACGGTGTTAGCAAAATGAAACAGTTTTGATGCAGGAGAAAACCCAGCAATTCTAGAAATACTTTCCTACTTACTTTGCCATTGTTAATCACTCTGAATGCTAAAAACATAATTAAAGAGAAAGACAGGATTACATAGACGCACAGCATAGAGGCTACACCATGCAGTTCTAAAAGAGAGAAGGGAAAACTTTAGCAGTCAGATTAGCTACTGGCAAGAAAAAGTCAGAAAAAATGAACCCAGTGAGAGAGGTAAACCTAGCATATCCAGCCCCCTAAGGTCTTAAATCAAATGTGCTCAAAAGACCACACAGAGTTTCACAGGGTCACTGTGCAGGGCAGGGCAAGGAGGAAAACACCCTTACCTGAGGTTCCTGACTGACTGACCCCCTCTGAGCCCAGGGTTCTGAACTAAATAAAGGTACTTCCAAATCTGCCATCCATCCCTGGCCAAACGGCTCTCGGATTACCTACAGAAGTCAAGAAGGCCAAAGGCCCCTCCTGCAGTGACCTCCCCATGCTCCTTTCAGCCCTAGGGGACAGAGGACTGGGCCAGCTTACTTTGCAGCCATACTGGAGAGCCAGCTTGTTGAGGCTGTCCTCCTGGGCCAGCTCCCGCTGCAGTAGCACCATGTCACCAACTCTGGGCTGCTGAGGGTGGTGGACTTTGTTCTTCTGGCGTTCCTTGCCCCGAGGCCGTAACATCACAGAATGTGACTCTTCCTCAGAGGAGTCCCCAGAGTCCCCACTGCCATCCTTGAACACGTAAACATGGCTGCTTGGAGTCCTACAAACAACGGCTGGGCCCTGGAAGGTCTTGGCTAACACTTCCTTCTGCCTCATTTTCTTAACTGAAAGCCAAACCCCAGAGTTAATTCCACACAAATGCTATTCACTAAAAAGAATTGTCTTGTTAGTAATTTCTACTTTTCCTAAGTATTGTAACTATCCAGCAAACACCCATTGAACAGGACAAGAACGTCCTCGGTTGGCTGAGATGGGATTAGGCAGAACAAAAATACCCTTTTCCCTAACCCCTTCTGTTATGCAGAAAGTAAGATTCCCTTCCTTTTCCTCCTATCCATGGCTGTGCCTCTCCAAACCCACATATAAAAGAAGCCTCTCCTAGTGTCTCAGAGGAGTGAAAAAGTGGCTGGGGTAGTGGCAAGGAGAGGGTGAGCACTGTTCTCAGCTTCCTTGTCCTGAGAATCTTACATTCAGAACCTGTGTACAAAAAACACCTTACGCATTCCAAGGTATCTCCAGGAAGCCCAACGCCAAGGACACACGCTGGGAGGGACCTTGAATCTAAGATGCTCTTATTTTGACCCTGGATGACTTACGTGATACGTGCAAAGGAGAAATGCCTGTCAAAGTTCAATGTGCCCGTTTCTCATAGTCACTTTTCACACCCCTCAACTCTTTTTATCACTTATCTTTTCCTAGAGCCAACCGCCAAAACCACACTGACCCTTTTCCCTCTCCAAATGGCCCGGACAAGACTCCAGACATGAAGTCTCCAGCACCGGGACTGGCAGACCCAAGTCCCACCCGAGCAGTACTTTCGGGACAGTCGGCCGCGCGCCTCCCTCTAGTCCCGGACATTCCGGGTGGCCGCAAGGGGCTTCAGTTTCCCTTCAGTGAAAGGTGGGGACGTACCTAAGCAGGGGACAAAACAAATCCGGGTTGCCCCGCCCCTGGGCCTACACGGACCTGGCCCCAACTTTCTAGAGCACAGGCAGCAACCCTGAAAGCCAGGACCAGCCCTCGGCGGTCGCGGTCACCGCCCCTTGGGGTGGCAGTCCCCCTCCCCGCCCCGGTGCCCACGGCGACAAGCGGCACCAGGCCCCGAGGTCCCCATAAGCCCCGACTCCCCAAAGTCAGTCTGTGGCCCCGGAACCTAGCCCGGGTACCTCGCTCAGGGTCCGCGGAGCCCCGCTGCCGCCGCCGCCGCGCCTGCCGATTGGCTGCGAAAAGCAGGTCTTCCGGGGGCGGGGCCTCATAAGTAACCAATGATTTTAGAGGGAGGCGGGCAGAGCCCCGAAGTGCGGAGGTCAGAATGCGCCCTCCTCGGACGGGCGGGGACGGGCGGGGACGGGGCGGGGACCGGGGCGGGACTACAGCGCCCAGATTAGACTTCCTGCGACCCGCCCAACACTTGTTTGTGGAACTTGGACTCTGCCAGCAGCCCCAGCTTTCTACTGAGCCTTTGACAGGAGAGTCCTTTGACCCATGTGTGTCCTGATCCATAGCTCGGGATGTCCCCAGGACGGCGGTGTCACTCTTGAGGCCTCCGGAGAAAGGGGTGTCCCTCCGCCTACGTGGAGGTGGGATCTGTGACACGGACTCCTAGCATGTGTGGGCCAGTTAGGGAGGAGGTTGCCAGTCCCTGCCCCAGAGATAAAGAAAATCCAGGGATGTGACAAGACAGACCAAATTTAGATGAAAAGCCTTGATTAGGAGTCGGGTGGTCCAGATTTCTTGATGCAGCTGGGGGACATGCCAGTAATCCCAGTACACGGGAAGCTGAGTTCCAGTCCAGACTGGCTAATTAGAGAGCCCTGGGTGTTCAGAAAAGATAAGCAGATAATAACTTGGTGTCTCTATATGTGACAAATATGATCAAGGACTAAAGTCCTTAATGGAGTGAGGTTCATCCAGAGAATAAGACTTTAAAAGAGATAAGGTGGAACCAGCCTGGGCAGGTAATACACCAAAGCATGCAGATGGCCAGTAGCTGGGCTAGGGTGCTAAACCTCTCTGGGATTCAGTCCAGCACTGAAACAAGTGCTCAGAAATTCTTTCAATGGCCTTCCATACTCTTGGAATAAAAATAAAACCCTTTTTCTGGACTGTTAAAGCCAGAAGGGCACTATGCCCATCGTCTTCTCTGCCCTTGTCCTACAGGGCACTCATCTCTGACATTTTGCTTTCCCTGCTGCCCTACACAAAGCAGGAGGCCAGGCCTGCTAAAATGCTGAAAATTCTTTCAGAAACCTGCCCTTGTATCCCCAACCCTAGGCCTTTAGCTTTGTGGTGTGGGATATTTCCCAGACTTGGATGAGGGCAGAGGAGAGGTATTACCTGACCAAAGTGTACCAGGGGCAAGCTCACAAGGACACTCACACTGCTCTGGACCCAAGAAAGCAGAGATCAACCCTGCAGGCGGAGGTGTCCACCCAGATGTCTTCCAACCCTTGCCAAGCTTGCTGTCTCCTCCGTGTATGGCCTTCTGGAGGGGAGGGCGGCAGAGGCCCACAGGTTAGATTTCAGGAAATGGCTCCCAACTCCAGAGTAGAGCAGAGAACAGCATCACAAAGTCATTAGAATTGAATAAGCTGTGTCTTTTCATTTTGTAGAGAGGAATTTGAGAACCAGAGACATAAGGGGACTTGCCCAAGGCTGCACAGCAGATAGGGGTAGGCAGAAGGCAAGCTGGAAAAGAATCTGAGTCAAAAGCCAGCTGGATACTGGCAGCTCTGTGACCTTGACCCAGTCCTTAAGCCTTCTAAGCCTTGATTCCCCCACTTCTATTCAGAACTGTTGACCCCGAAGCCTGGGAAGACCAAACAGTCCTGCCAGGACTAATTCCAGGGTATACCTGTTGTCACAGCACAGTTATTAGTAAAGCCACTTTCCTTCTATCTACGTCTGGACATGCTCTGCACCTCTATGCATGGAAGTCTGCCCATGTACTGTGAACCTGACACATACTTCTCATGAAACCCCTAGCAGACATTGCTAGTTCATCAGAGTGGCCTGGCTAGCAATTGGTAATCAAGCCAACCATGACCAATCAGCCAATGTCAGAGAAGGTGAGAATGATCAGTTATTCTTGATCTGGTTTCTTAGGTGATGTGTTCTCTGGCTGAGTAAGGAAGATCTAATGGTTCCTGAGATACAACCTTCTTCTCCTAAAAAGGAAAGAGCAGGCTGGGCATGGTGGCGCATGCCTTTAATCCCAGCACTTGGGAGGAAGAGGCAGGCGGATCTTTGTGAGTTCAAGGCTAGACTGGTCTACATAGTGAGTTCCAGGACAGCTGGGGCTACAAGGAGACCCTGTCTCAAACACACACACACACACACACGCACGCACGCACACAAAGGAAAGAGCAGAACTTCCTAATTTGTACTTGTCATGTCACTGTTAGAAATGAAACCCTGAGATGAGCAGGCTCTGAGTAGTAAGTAGAGCCAGTAGCACCAAGATAGCACCAATGTCAGAGTTCATGGGACAGTACCAAAACATTTTCTACCTCAAAAATATCACTAAAATGTTAATGAAGGGACTGGGGAGATGGCTCAGTAGGTAAAGTATTTGTACAAGTTTAAAGACCTGAGTTTGAATTCTAAAGAACCCACGAACATGTCTGTAATCCAGGGCTCCTACCTCGAGATGGGGGGTGTAGAGTTGAGAATCTCAGGAACTTTACAGGCCAGCTAGCCCAGAGTACCCAGCAACAAAAAGAGAAATTATCTCAAACAAGGGGGAAGACATGCAGACCCCTGAGGTCCAATGACATTCCCTCCCCACCAATCCCAAGTCCATCCTCAGGGATCTGACATGATATTTAGATTTAAATGGAATGCAAGAGGTATTCCTAATTAAGCAGTTCTGGTCCAGGTGTGGTCCTGTCCATCAATGACTTATACCTGTTTTAGTTCCTAGCTCTTGGGCTGTTTGCCAGTTGTCAGAACTATGTGAAATCTCTAGGAGACAAGCCCCTGCTCTGGCTAAAACCAAGGTCCCAGTCTTTCCTGTTTCCAAGCATAAATTCTGTGGAAATTCCAATTCCTTGAGGTTCATTGTGTCATTCATCTGATTGTGGGAGGGAGGGGCACACGTGTTTCTCTTTAGAATATCTCCCTTTCTTCCTGCAAGGCCATATCACCACACCACATTAATATAATTGCCTTCAATGTGTATTTGACTAATGAGTGACCCAAGAGCAAATGGTTTCTTCTAGGGAGACACTCCCCTATCACTGAGGATCATCTCTCTCCCTGACCTTGCCGGCTTATGTCCTGCCTCACATACTTGGAACGTTAAGTCTCAGTCTCAGTGGCAGTTGGGATTTAGCCAGGAGCAGTCACGACAAAGGGACTAGGGTCCCAGGGATGGAGAAGCCAAACAGGAGAGGCACTGGGTCAATCCAGAGATTAGAAACTGCTGGGGCCACCATCCCACCTGGAGACAAAGGGAGGGGCAGTGTCATGGGAGCCTAGGAAAGCACAGAAGTCTGTTCAGTGAGAGTTGGAAATTTGGAGGAGACCCAAATGCTGTGGCAACTACTCTATGATCATGGGAAGGGAGGGGGTACACTCAGGCCCAGCACCTCCTGGGCTCTGCAAATGAAATGCAGGGAATCAGCTGGCCCAGTTTGGGAATCACAGCTCAGAGTCAGGTTGGCCTAATTGTAGGATAGTAGGGTATCCAGTCTAGGGCCAGTATCATCCCAGCTGTTCCAATACCCTTGAGAGGTGCCAGTCTTAGAGAACTGACTGGTCTATCTGTTAGGGGCTGACTTATACCCTGCCCCAGACATGTGTGGGAATCCCAACTCTTAGTATTTCTGGATGTAATTGTATTTACATATATAGAGATAAATCTGAAAATCTTTAAAGATGTGATTAAGCAAAAACCTTCTGAGTGGGCCTCAATTCATTCTAACTGGTGTCCTTATAAGAAGAGATTATGACATAGAGACACACCTCTGCCCACACAGGAAAGGATTCATGAGACCATTGGGAAAGAGTGGCCTTCAGCAAGCCAAGGAAAGATGCTCTAGGAAACACTGCAGAAATATTGGTCTCCGATTTCAGCCTCCAGACACTACTTTCCTGATGTATAAGCCACCTACCTGTGGTGTTTTGCTATGGTGGCCCTGCAGACCAACGCATTGTCCAAGACTCTGTGTTGCTGCTGAGTGCAGTAGCCCTACAAACAGCTCAGAAAGGCCCCAGCAACCAAAGACACCTTTCCCTCCAGACTTAGTCCTGTTAGCCAGGATGATACATGTGGTAGGGGGAAGGCTGTGAATCTCCTCCCTACTCTGTCATACATGCACCACACTCATATACCATAACACACACACACACACACACACACACACACACCCTATACAAATGACAAGCATGGAAACCACTGGGTAGCACAGAGTTGTGACAAGGCCTCTGACCCAGGTATTCCTGGAGTAGCCTCCTGGGACTGAGTCCAGGGTTCTTCCCTATCACCTGGACATGGCTTGGTGACCCTGAGTTTCTATTTCAGAGCTATCATGTTTTCTGAATTTGGAAATTATCTTCTCGGTCTTTGTGAATATCAGCTTGTAATTTGTAAATCACTCCATTCACATTCACTTTTATTTTGCAGCTTTTTTGATATCTAGCTCCCACATCATGAAGTTCACTTTGCAGTCACTTTCTACTTTTTCATTTGGATCTATTTTTGAGTAGGACAGCATGCTGTGATGAATTCTTGGGACAGGAGGGTGATTCCATTCTGGTCCCTGGGCCCAGTGAGTTTGTGTCAAGAAGGACAGGGAGGTATGAGCAGTGAAGACTCACAGGACTATGCACTGGAGGACTCCCATTTTTGCCCTAATGGTGGGGATGTGGGGAGTTTGATGAGTGAAATTTAGCTGTAGTCACTTAGGGAAACATTGGGAACCCTGATTAATGTCTCCTAGGCTTCATTTAGACATGCTGAATAGACACATGTATGAAAAGGGTTGGAAAGCTTGTTGGAATTCAGGAAGGAAAAACAACTCCACTTCATCTTTTCCTTCCCAAACCTTAGAAGTGAGGGAAAACTCCTAATATAGTCAATACATAAACATTAAAATGAGAAATAAGGGAATATGTAGTAATCTTTTTTTTTTTTTGTCACTGTGGC